TCAGTCGACCATTCTTGGCTGGCGTGTTGGCGCTTTGTTCAGAAGAAGCAGTAACTTTATCATTTGGAATTTGTCCATCTTCCATTCCAAGGCCCAAATCTACACAATCTCCTATGGAAATTATTTACAATAAAGAATAAACAAACACGACGAGCACACAAACACATCTCCACTTAGATTTGAGAAGAGGGTCTTAAAAAGGAGGTACTGGTTCCTCGCCGAGTCACAACAGCGGATCTTAACTAGAAGAACTCGACCACATATTCTAGAACAAAATGAATATGCGAAAGTTAAAAATTATCTTTTACAAAAATAAGTGGTATGGATGCTGGAAAATAAGTGGGAAAAGGTGAGAGAGCTCGAAGAATTTCAGCCTAGGTCAAGTCTTTGTATTCTTATCCAGTATATCTGACCTTAAAAATTAGTAGGTAATTTAGTGTTAACAACTGAGTTGAAAACGTAAATTGGCCACCGTAAAGGATAAAAAAACAACAATTGCCTCGTCTTGATTTTGGCCAAAGATTGACTTTCTGAAGAAAAATGCCACGGAAAATGCTTAAAAGAACATTTCTGAGCCTTTATATTTCAAAATATTCTGGGGGGCATGCCCCCATACCCCCTTAGCGACTCGCGCCTTTGAAAACTGTTCTTTAGAAATGAAGTGGAACTTAACAAGGAGACCAAAAAAATACAGAAGAATTTAGCAAAAGGCAACAATTTATAAAAAGCATGTGGGTAAATTGCATGAAATTCAGTCCTTACCTAAAGCCAGAGGAATTCGCAACAGTAAGGAAAAGAAAGCTAGTTGGAAATACGGATGCATCTCAACCAAGGCTTGTTTGAGGCAAGAGGAAGCCTTCTTTTCGTGGGATGCAGCTAGCAAACTGAGTGCACTTCTCTCGTTTCTTTTATGATAGCACTGCCCCAGGTGGTTCAATGTCAGTAAATCTTTTTCCTACTCCCAGCAGACGATGTGAAAACCAGATTGATGGCTACTAAGGAAATAGAAATAAAGATATCGAAGAGATCTTTATACTTTGCACGTTATAAAGCTGTCTCTATGAATTCTAGTATATTTCACCTTTGCAACAGGCTTATGCACATTTTTTACCACTAATGTTAGCTTTGTTTGGACAAGATCTTAACCCGAATCTTAAGAAGCCGTTTGCTTGCAAAAAAAAGGAGAAAAAAGATAAGAGACTGGCCAAAAGGTTTGCTACCCGTGTTGTGTCCACAATTTTAAGAAAGCAATTTCTTAAAATTGTGGACACAACACAATTTGCCTTATGATGCTGTTTCCCTTAAACATGGTAGTCAGCATGATAAAAGAAAATGCTTTATTCCCTCTTCATACCGGTCCTGATTCTACTCGATTCTCAAATTTTAGCGCTAGCTGACAGTCTCAAATGATTCCCTCATTGGTATTTATCAACAAGAATACCGCACTGTTGTGCGCTGTTGTGCGGGTTGGAGTAGGTATTGCTGACGTTCAGCATCTTGAACAATAGTACCGAGAAGAGGCAGCGAATTAAAGCAACAGACTGTCAATGCACTTTGCAACCAGTGGTAAGAAATAAATACTTTTATCTCGTTTTAGAATTTATATCATATTCATACTTTCTAGTTATCTCGTTTTAGAAGTTATACTGTAAGACCTTATGAGATTTTTTAGATGGGAAAGTATGAATTTGTGATAAATAATTATGTATTATGTGAGACCTAAGCCATTCAATTAGATTCTGATGACCAATTTACTATTGCTCTTTTTTTTCCTAAGGTAACCGTTGTAAGGCCATCGTAATACAGCAACCTGAAGATAGTTTTGAGACGGGGGAGGAACGGCCATAACCACCCTGCGCCAGTTGGAAAGATAGTTGCCCCAGCCTGCCGCGTCTAGACAGTCTACAACGAACTACTGACCGCTTTCGCTAGCAGTTACGGCCACAAGACCCCTTGGAGTTTGAGTTAGAAACGGAGCATATCCCGGATAACTTATTTCGGGAAGATGTAAAGGTAAGCATTTTGAGAAATGACAAATTAATTACCATTAAAAATAGCGATTGTACTTGAGACTAAGACTTAAGCGTGTTGGTTGAAAAAATACTATGGTAGTTGAACAATGGGAAATTAATTACCATCACAAAAAATCGTAATAGGACTTGAAATTAAGGTTTAGGTGAGGCCCGTGATGGCATATTTATACTGTTAAATGCATTTTACGTTTCAGATACGTGGACGTCGTTACTTAATTTTTGCGTCAGACAATCAGTTAGTTAGAAGACCTCAGCCGGTCAAAATTGTGGTACGTGGATGCTACCTTCAAATTGTGCCGTCACCCGTTTTCACAATTACTGACTCTGAACGCCTTCGTGAGAAAGGATGACCTCGTGAAAAAAGTGCCACTTGTTTTTGTCCTCATGATGGGACGATCAATTGCAATAAATAATAAAATAAAAAAGTCAAGTTAATTTATATAGTCCATTAGCTGAAATCAATAAATATGGTCACTTGTTTTCGCGACTTTGTTAAACTTCCTTGTTCCTAGCTTTGCTGAACGTAATTTTTTTTGCTTTCTTGCTGAGGGTGTTTTTTCTCGCGTGGCAAGTAATCGCAATATCGAGGAAGATCTGGGCAGAGTGATTCACCCTAGATCTCGTCTTAAGCCGGCGACACACCAAGCGATTTTCTACGCCGATCGCGGCGAATTTGATCGCGAATTTGATCGCCTCAGATCGCTGCTTTTTTTCGCCGATCACTTCAGTCTTGATACCAGGTTCCATTGGGTGAGGTTTAAAATTTGCGCGAACCAATGTAAACAAACAAAATGGTGACAGCAAGCAAAAATAGTTGTTGGCTGCTGCCATAATTTTGCAATTAAAGCGCTGCAGGAAGCGATTTGAAAAGTGGGACAATAGAAAAATATGGTCGAAGACCTGGCTTTATTGAAACGCAGAGTCCTTCTTGAGATGATTACTGTAGTAGCTCGACGTGACATCAAATAAGCATGGCTTTTCTAACCACAGTGTAATGAAATTGACTTTTTCTTCTTCGGTTCAGAAACAATTTCGCCCAACTTGATCGCAGTGGAAAGGGGAGAAAATCGCGGGAACGGGCAGACTTGGCGAATGCCGGCGAAGTTAATCGCGGATATCTGACATGCCAGATATCGGCGATTTTATACGCTGATCGCGGCTATTGGTGAAAATCGCAATCGCCGCACCAGGCACACCTGGCGATCTTCGCCGATCGCCGTATAAAATCGCTAGGTGTGTCACCCGCGTAATAATGGCGATCGCGTTTCACCATTGAAAGGCACATTTCCCGATATAGCAGAATTATCCTGAAACGACCCATTTCATGACACGACCAGAAGGTTTGAAAATTATTACCGCTCGACTGTAGTTTTTTGCTTACTGTACGCGATTGACGATCGATAAATTATTTTGGTTTCGGTTGACTCGAGTATTCGAGCTTTCTTTTTCCTTCAAGAAATAATTGCTTTGTGACAAAAACTATATTTTCTACAATAATTTCGGTGTTTTCAAAATGACGGCGAAGTTATTCCTGTCATGAGACGAAGTCAAGGCTG